CGATTGAGCCCGTTCCTTCCGCACCACGTAGCCAGGTGTATGTAGCCACGTCCTTGCACCCTAGCGAGGAGCAGCACTCTCCTGGTGGGCTCCACTGCCTGCGTTTGCGGGGCGGCGTGGTGTCATGCCCAGGGGTTTCATATGTGTACGCGAAGCATGTTTTTTGGCGCGAAAACCCGGCGCGCATAGCGGACAGATTTTATATAGGAAATTTGCGAGTGATCGGCCTATGGTTATTATATGTCATAGTCTTTGTCGTTGGTGATCGAACGCGGGAAACGCGGCGGGATCATCTGTCATGCTGCACAGCGCAACACAGCAGCGGTCCACTGCATTGCTTCATCACATAGATGTTTTCCAGAGCGAGGCAACGGTTCATGTCAGTGACGACCCGATGCCCGAAGCAGCGGGCTGCATGGTGTACCCCGAATCGACCGCCACAGCTAACGAGATGTATCAACAACAGCAGGAGTCGGAGTAGCAGCAAGAACGGGGCAGAGGGAGGCGGAGAAGGAGGAGGAGGAGGAGGAGGAGGTGCAGGGTGGGGACGTTATCGCCAGAGTGAGCATGTAGGTGGAAGCGGATGGAGCCAGAAGTCGACTTCCGGTTTCCTAAGGTACGCGTGTTGTGACTCCTGTTGTCTCTTTGTGTTGTCGTGGGGTCGAAACACACCAAGAGTCGTCGTTTGTTCTGGGTGTTGTACGCAACAAGACCATCAGTGTTGACTTCCGCGACGAGCTCGGCGGATTGTGTCTCTCCGCGCTGAAGCACGCATGCAGCAGCTCGACCGACAAGCAGGCTCCCGGCTTACGTACTGGGGGAGCTGGGTATTAGCTGGTACTGACTTCGAATTTTGAATGATCCCATTTGCTCCGCTCGCCAGCAGTTTACGCCGCTGTAGTACAAGAACAGCAAACCGCCGTTTTCGGTGTTGGGACGACTGGAAAATGGTGTACGGACCTCATTTATGTTTCTAGTGATACATACGTGCCAGGGTCAATAATTCCTCGACACGTTCTACCCGGTAAGAACATCCTCTGCTGCCCTGCGTGCTCTTTTCTCATCTCCGCAAGGTCAACTTGGAGGGGCAGGTTCCGCGACCAAATCCCGCTGCCATGGCTAGCGTTGGGCCTCTTTCAGGCCGTTGAGTTTGGGCTTGCCGCGTACGAGGTGGAGGCGGAAAAAGTGGACGAACTTGTTCAGCGGTGAGAGGTTGCACATGGTGAATCGTACGTTTGCCTAGCATAGGACTGTGCTTGCACGTTCAGTACGACGTCGGCCACTGCTTTTGCTATTCCTGTGTGTACTCTGCCTTGTGGCTGTAGCTCCCACCCCTTGTAGTGTATCAGCCCCTGTGACCGATGGCGAACAGTAAATGAAGCGGTAGGGGTGTTGGTCACCATACCCGAAAAGGGCGTGCAGTTGGGGCGATGGAAAGATCGAAATCACTGTGCGATGTCTCTCTTGATGGTGTGTAGAACGGTAGGACCTGGGTGACAAGATGAATTCTGGCTGTGCGCCGCTAGTGCCGTCGATAATAGCCCAATATGTCTTCGGGATACGCGGCAAAAGGCCACCTGTGTTTGAGCTTAGATCACAGCAAGTCTTGTAGGAAGGATGGCCAAGGCCGTCACGGAGTCAAGCCCTGTAGAGGAAACCGAGGAACGAGCTGTCGTTGGTGCTCGCACATGCTCGTGTCGCACGTTGCCCCCAGTTTTCCGAAGTGGACACACGCCCGCTGCTTCCAGCCGGACGTAGCATTGAACTGAAAAGAAGTTGCCCCTATGCGTCGGCGCACCGCAAGTTAGTTGGTCACCCGGAGATGACGTCGCCTTTTGAGCAGTTGGCGGCCATGATCTCTCTGCGGCGAACGAACTCGAAATTGTCAGCGAATGCTGGGAGATGTACGCACGCAAACGCGTGTTGCTCCTATGTAAGAAGGGGCAAGCGCTGGCCCTGCGTGTCAACGAATCCCACTCCGGTCTGCTTCACGAGAACTAGTGCTCATCGCATCGCCCATGTCCACTGTTGTTAGATCCGCTTATTGTTTATCTGCTGACCGTTTGTCAAACTGTCGCGAATTCCGCGGTTGCTGTCCAGGTGCAACTTCCACATCGCGACGGCTACCATCGGAGAGGCGGTAAACCTGACTTCCCTCCTAGAGCTCCTTGACTTGGTGAGAACTACCCTGTGACGGCTTTTGGCTTGGACTAAAGACCGCACGACTTGAACTTGGCTTCTCTGCAAGCCGTCGGCACCATTTTTATCACGCCCTTGTCTTGTTGGGACGGCGAAGAAAAGGATATGAAAAACAACGTGTTTTCTGCCCATGTTCGGTGTCCGTGTCGTTGGACCTTAGTTCGTCTCTCTGTAAGCTGTTCGTACTCTTTTTCAACCATGCTCTTGTCTTGTTAAGACAGCGAAGAACGTACGCATCGCGTGTTTTCTGTCTACATCGTTCGATGTCCTTGTCGGGTCAGATTCACCGATTTTGTTTTCTCAAAACAGAGTACCACTCGCCCCGTTGGATTCGGGATTATCAGATTCCCGTGTCCCCGGCTGGTCGTCCTATGAATACAGTCGACCCCGCTTTAAGGACGCACATGGTTTTTCCCGAAAAAAAGCGTGCTTAAAGCAGGGTTGCGTCTTTAAAATTCAGGGGACGATAGCTCACAATCCCCGGGGTCAATGGAGGCATGCTATACCTCAAACTACTTGTCTTTTGATAAGGAAGGGGGTGGTACGAAAAGTCAGCATCGCCGAGACGAATGGTAACCGTTTTTTGACGTCAACATATTGACAATACTTAAGATGAGATGTACCGCAGTCGGGGACGTGTTGAACACAACTACAGGACACCAGTTTGTACTTGGCCAACTAATGTACTGCTTCGCTGGCAGCGGAAGAAGGAGGAAAGTCCAAGTAGAAATATATTTATCTCATTCTCGTGAAACACAACACAAACGAGCGTATTTCAGCGTCGCACCGCGGAACACCAGTTCATATGATTGTCCCGGCGGAGACCAAGCTACCCTGACGTCTTGTCCCTCCACATATCGCGGAGAGTTCCCTGAACCTCCCCCCGCGGCTTGGCTCTACGGCTCTGTTGAGTTTCATGAGTAAACGAATGAACGGTCTTCGAAAGAAGGTACTGCGTCTCACGGTACTCGCTACCCCTTCCCTTCGCGTACTAAATGGATCGAACGTCCTCCAAGCGAGAGATAACCTCGCCCTCGGTGAGGGACGAGGTTATGCACGACTCCGGCCTGCCGTCGCCGTCGCCCCCTTCGCTCGATACGTCGTGGTCAATTTCTAAGCCGGCGAGATCCCTCTCTACTGCCTGCAGTTCCAACTCCACCTCCTCTTCTAACACCACGGGGTCGTCCTCTACCGAAAGCCACGTCTTGACCGCCGTTCGGACTTCTTGCTCTGTGAGGTCTGTGCCCCTCTCGACAAACAATTTGTCCGTCAACACTCACGGCATGGACCTGTAGTCCGTTACGCTAGCTGGCATCGACATTTTTGAGACCATGTCACAAAGNCCTTCGCTCGATACGTCGTGGTCAATTTCTAAGCCGGCGAGATCCCTCTCTACTGCCTGCAGTTCCAACTCCACCTCCTCTTCTAACACCACGGGGTCGTCCTCTACCGAAAGCCACGTCTTGACCGCCGTTCGGACTTCTTGCTCTGTGAGGTCTGTGCCCCTCTCGACAAACAATTTGTCCGTCAACACTCACGGCATGGACCTGTAGTCCGTTACGCTAGCTGGCATCGACATTTTTGAGACCATGTCACAAAGGCCGTCAATGATTGCCGCGTCGTCCTTGTCCTCTCGGTCAAGCCGCGTGTCCATGCCCTTGAGAACATTGCAGTGCTCCCTGGGAAGGATGCCAGCCTTGAGCCAGCACCTGATGACCGTCTGAACGTCGGAGCTACGCCACTTCTGGGAAAAGATTTCCGTAACGTCCAGCATTGTCGCCTGTCCTGCATCGCTGAGGCCCCGGCACCCTCTGCCGAAACGAAACACAAGGGCGGATGAAAGGGCTAATGTTAAAACCAGCTCGACAAAAAAGTTGAAAGAACGCCATTTTCAGAGCCTTCGCAAGACCTGCGACGACAGTAACAAAGAGCGCCCCTACTTTGTTGTTTTGAATTCACCTTTGGATTTTTCGTGCACGGACGGTGTCCCAGACCTCGATGAGGTCTGCCAGCCTTGCCACTATTTCGGTCTTGTACTGGCACTTGAGTACAAACAGGATGCCCATGTCCATGGGCTGGTAGACAGAATTGACGTTCGGAGGCAAGAAGATGATGACGATCTGCGGGTCGTTGCTTTTGATCTTGTGGCCGGGGCAGTTGTCCCACAAGAGGGCCACCTTCTTGGGGGTCTTGCCTTTGACGAAGGGGACAAAGACTTCGTCAAACCACCGCTGGCAAATGGCTGTGTCGAGCCAGGCACTCTCCTGGGCGAAGTAGGGACATGGCGGTTTGCGGACGTGGCGGAAAACCATCGTTTTTTTCGACGTGCTGATGACGGCCAATGGCACCATGAGAAACCCGGTCGTATTGCAGCAGGCGACCACGGTGCACCGATCCTTGGTCTGCATGGCCTTCGAATCCCGCGCGGTTTTGCTGTTGGCGCCGGCGGCGGCCTCCCCCCTCATGACGTATGTACCTCTCGGGAAGCAGCGGAAGAAAAGTCCCGTCTCGTCCATGTTAAAAATGAACTCGACGCCGAATTCCTGCAGCTGCTCACGAATCCTCTTGATCTCCTCTGCCACCTTCTGCTTGTCCACGTCGCCAGCTTCTCCGTGCAATTGGACGTGAGTGAAGCTGTAGCGTTTCAGGAAGCGATGTAGCCAGCCGTTGGTCGCCTTGAAATTGGTCTTCCCCATCTGCGCCGCGATCTTCAAGGCCTGGGCCTGGATCATCAAACCACTCACGCCAATCTTGGTTGCCTGCGTCGGGAAAGACGTATAAAAGGAACAGCAGCGACATGGTTTCGATCAACTCTCCCTTGAATTGGTTGTGCGTTCAGTCGGCCAGCTTGAAACAGGTGGTCTAGAGCTTGTCGAACCCCCAACCCAGCAGCTTGGTCGAGAGTGGGAGGAGGTGTAGGGGCGGAAGGGTGTAGGCGTATAGACAACCAAGCTGTATCCTGACCAACACATGACTTATGCAAAATATGTACTTACGTTGAAGCGTGCTCGTGCGATCTTGATCCACTTGCGTAGTTTCGTTTCCACTTAGTCGTGTACCGGCTTCGGGGCGCGAAGGGCGTCCTGGTTGAGCTCCATGCCGCGGACTTTCTCAAGCTCAGCGATTTTCTCCGGGTTAATCAACATGCTGATGTACGAAATACCGACGTTCCACTTTGCAGCAACCATGCTCCTGTCAGCACCCCCCTGGACCTCCTTGACAATCTGCAATCGCTGCGTCATCGATAACTTGTTTTTGCCGGTGTCCCGTCCGGGCTTGGACACCCGGACTTTTTTGGCGACACTACCTGTGCCGTCCCCCGCGGCACCTCCGCCGCCCCCCCCCGCGGCGCCTCCGTCGCCCAGCCCCGCGGCACCTGCGCCCCCCCCCCTCCCCCGCGGTGCGTTGAGCCCGTCTCCCATTCCTTGCAGTCTCTGACTCTTTGCCCCCAGCCGGTTGCCTCGTCCTGCGCGACAAATTTTACAAGAGACGAGGGAATTGTGACATGTCAGGGCAGGTTGTTGGCAAATACACCCACGTGAGAAAAAATGCCGTTGTGTCCAACACAGCATGCGCTTATTTTCCGGAGAACGAGAGTGCTCGCACCTACCACCGATAGACTGCACGCAGGCCAGCAGCTACAATTTACGCTGAATAAAAATAAGACAATAGCATGTCACGACTGCGTCTATTTTGTATGTTTTTCAAGTGCGAACCGTAAACACCAGAGTCCTCTGAACGTACAAAAGTTCTCTTTCTATCAGCGTTGAACATCGAAAATCACTTCGGCAGCGCGTCATGCGAACTGCTTCAGGTGCAAGTTGCGTGCCAAACGATGCACAGCAGTAGCGAGATTCTTCACTTGGTTTTTTATGCTCACTACAAATGCACAAACACCCACACATGTTGACGATCTTTTGTCATGACAAAAATAAATGCACACACACCCGCAGCTTTGTGCGGACAATCTCAGGGAGTTTTCCTGGCATGCTGACACTGCTGTTGTTTGACAAGAATTAGACGAAGGCAAGGACATGCGATGTACATGTAACATCGTGGTGCACGCTTTCCTGCTCAACACCTCAACAGCACGCGTTCGGCCGATGGCTACTGCTGCTGCTGCTGCTGCTGCTGCTGACTGCTGTAGATCACAATCATCACCTGCTGCTGTTGTCCTCGTTGTCGCTACTGCTGTCCACCTCCATGGGACTTGTGCCGGTGCCGATCTTGCCTGTAGTCGTTCTCCTCTGACAATCTGTGCACTCTCTGCTGCCCGAAGCCTTCCTCACCGATTCCTCGGCCACAGAAGCCATGCATCGGCCGCCCGCATGGCCACTGGTGGACTGCGGTGATCAGTAGAGATTTCATCGCACACGTTGGTTCTCCACATGTTTTTTTTGGCGGCATTAGATGGACCGCCGGTAGATGGAAGGAATCTATCCATACCAACGCCCAGTTACAGCTGCAGCAGCAGACCGCTCGCTACTTCTGCTGTCTGTGCCTCGATACTTGTGCACTCACTGTGGTGCGTGGTGCGTTCGAAGAGCGGCCCGCAGGACACAAAAAAGGGGGTACGTGGCAGAAAAAGGGGGTACCCCATTATCGTACCTTCCGCCGGGCCCCCTGGTGCTCAGAAAAAAAGCTTCCTTAAAGCGGTTTTCCTTAACGCGAGCGTCCTTAAAGCGGGGTCGACTGTACACCATTTTTTGTCAACCGCTTCCGTAAGAGGATGGAGAATCTCGCGACGGAACCGGGCGCGTCAAGTAAATGACGGAAATATACCATATGCATCGAATCCCCGTCCCATATCTCGCGTGAATGCCCGCCATACAACATGGTTCCTGTTGACCAGCGTCCTCCTGCTTGCGTGCTGCGATTGGTTGTTGCTCGATTGCATTTTTGCACAAAAGGTGCACCACTCGGTCCTCGCCGTAGGCCCCACCGCTCTGCCGAAGCTGCTGGACGCGGGTGTCATCGGGATCGCGCTGAGGGGTGCCGAGTCTCCGAACACACACGTAAGCAAGGGGTGCGAGTGAGAGAGCCTGTCCTCGTAGGGTATTAGGTGGGTCTGTGCATTTCACGTACCCCACCCCTTCCGACGGTTGGGAGCATGCATCGCTTGTCGAGGCACTCGCTCACCCTTGGTCTCGCCTTGAAGGGGGACCACATTCGGGAAATATTTCTGCATGGAGGTTTATCAATCACCAATGGCGCCGTAGGCGAAGGCGTTCGCGTCGTGCATGGCCGTGCGAAGTCAGCGAAGCACCAACCTACTCTCGTGTTGGACCCGGGTTCGCATGATGGATGGAATTTTGGGGGGACTTCGACCGTTCGATTTTTTTTTTTTGTGCCTTGTCCTCGCAATTTTTGCCGTGCATCGTCATGAACGGCATGCAATTGCCCTGCCACCGTCCGTATCGCGCACAACGGCTGCGTGCAGAAGTAACGTGGCGGTGCGGCTGCTGTACAACTTCCTCGCGAAGCTCAATCAACCTCCTGCGCCGTTCTTCAAACCGCCGCCCCTTGCGCGACCCCGCACCCAGGTCGCAGTGGTTTGCTACAGGATCCTGACCGTGCTGTCCCAGAACAGGCACGTCGCGCGAAGGATGTCGAGAGACCCGGCCATCAGAGCCGTGCTCATCGGCGAGCTGCGTCGGCAGGTCAAGGGCTGGAACCACGCCGGATCGGGAGCGGATGATGATCATGAGGCTGAGGGCGAGAAGCAGCAACGGATGGGTGGGCTGGCGGACGGAGGGGAGGGGGCAACGGCAGCGGCGAGGCCACCGCCGGCGACGATCGTGGTGGACCCAATCCACCTCACGCTCACGCTTGAGACGCTCAGCAACGTCATGCGCGCATCGCGGCGGGACATCAACAGCAGTAAGAGAAGAAGCACAGCAGAAGAGCCGGGGGCGGCGGGATTGAATCGGAGATTTGGAGCAGGGGGCGTTAGTGGCGGGCGGACAGCAGCGGGAGAGGACGAGGAGGATGAGGTCCCGTGGCCTTTCCGCTTCCTGTACGGAGAGAACAACTACGAGGGAGCAGCGGGCTATGCATACGGCGGGGGAAATGAAGATGATGACACCATCATCGCTAGCGTAGGGGGGGGCATCTCCGGTCCTTGGCCGCTGGATCGCAAGCTCGTGGCGGATATTGCGGAGCTGATGCTGAGCGCGGCGAGCGCGAGAGATAGTGAAGGGGTGAGTCTGAGTTCGGGACCAGGAGAACTATTGAGACGGGGATCTGGTGCTAGAGTTGGAGATTTGGAGCCGTGTCGAGCCAAGATAGACCGGAACATTTCAGGGATCTGGTTTTTAGAGTTGGAGGTTTGGAGCCGTGCCGACCCAAGGAAGACTGGAACGTTTTTTTTCGAGGGCTGCTCATGGCGCACTACTCAGGAGCTTGTTGGGTTTTCACGAGTGAAAAGTACGCTGGCCCACGAACGGCAGAAGGGGGATCGCCCTTCTACAAACGCATACCCGCCATCATGCACGAAACCACCACTGTAGGTCCGTACAATATCTAGTGCTGATTATATGCCTAACACACTAGATGGGGCTCTAGGAACGACTTTAACGTGATCCAGGGGTTGACTATCATCGCCGAGGCAGAAAGGGCCGTTGTTCCTATGGAGTGAAACAGCCTGGAGCAAGCCCGGGCAGAGTAAGGCAGTAGGCCTTGGCGTTGCTACCGTTTCGTTTTTGAAGCTACGCGGCGCTGTCGTGAGAACGTACACGCGTTACGAGGCAGAGACCAAAGATACATGTTTCCTGATGCTTGTGAGGCGTAGGTGTAGTGGCCTTCGAGAAATATTATATACTTCTATATTTATTTATTTATTTATTCCTGCAGGGGGGTGATGTCTTCCATTGGAACCCTCGAGTCGCCCGGCCCGGTTTGTCGCCCGCTTGGAGGGCCAGCATTGCTCACTAGCTGGGACCATTGGAACCCAACCCGTCTGCAAATTTGTAGAGAACATGTGGTGTAATTCAAATCTCAGACATGTAGCCAGCGAAAGAAGACACTGCGTCAGCAGCGCTACTTTTCAGTTCTAGAGGGCATCACGTCGTTGTTCTCTTTTGCTATTCCCATGACTGACCAAGGTGGGAACGGTTCCTGTATTGCCCCCTCCCTCCCTCCCTCCCTCTCCCGTGCCATGCATGCAATCGGCCACCACATCAAAGGCGGTGGCGCGCGGAGAAGACGCGGAGCTGGGGGAAGTCCTGGAGGCGGCGGCGGCGTCCAGCCTTCTAGAGATCAGCCACCACCCGGAGTTGGTGGGGCTGTTGCTTCGAAGGTGGGGGAGCCGCGACGGCGTGCGGTGCAACGGTCCGCACACCCCATGCTGCGTTACTTTTTCCTTTACATGTCTCGTTTGTTGCTCGATCAGCGTGGTCGATGATAAGTCATACAAAGACACACACACACGAAAGGAGAGCAACCCAATCATGTTGTGCATAGCATGGGGGGAATAGATGGTGCAAGAGCAATCCTCCTTGGTGGTACTGAGTCTACTCCCTTGTACGTAAGAAGCAGGACACTGTCGTCCCCCCCCCCCGCTGTCGGTAACCCTTTGAGTGGGAAGCGTGTTGACGGTATTTGTTTGGTATATTACTGACGTCTCTAAACTGGTCAGCAGGTTAGCGGGGTCAATTCAAGAAACACACACACGCACACCACGCTTTCACACTGCTTGACGTGAACAGCAGTCACGTAAAGAAGAAGCCATTACTTTGGGGCGTCTCCCGTAGCTTTGGTCCAGCTCCAACTACAGACCAGCATCTCTTTCTTTGCGAGTTGCGTGGGAAGCCTGTTGTACAGAAAGCACGCGCTCGCGGCCACGATAGCGGCAATCCTCACTACCGCAAAACAAACCCTTCAGTTTCGCGTCTCCAGACCAAAGCGCGCAATTTCGGGCCCCGCGAGTGAAGGTGAACCATGATGTTGGGGGGATCGTTTCAGATTGTGGAGGAGCAGTGAACTAGATTTCTGTCTTCGACGAGGTATTATGAATTGAAGTGTTCAAGGTTGTGAAAAAGTCGGGTATGTGAAAGGGAGTGAAACATTTTATTATGTGAAAGGGGGTGAAAGGTTTTTAGGACGTGAGAAGGAGTGAAACGTTTTTAGGGTGCGAAAGGGAATGAAACTGCCTGGTATATTAACGGGGAACGTCAACAATATTAGCACATAGCTGTCTGCTGAAACAATTTCTTGAAGAGGGTCGTGCCATACGTGTGCAACAGTTACTGCAGTGAGATGGGGCGTGACGTAGAGAACGACAACACGTTGGTGAAGGGTTTTGCGAGTAAGTGTTGCCGAACGTATTCGACTTTTGCTTGCATCGTGCAATCTTCCTTACACGATCCGTCCGTTTCAAGGTGAGCCGCCAGAACTTCTGTCGTGCTGAAAACAGTTGTCGCCAATACGCGGGCACTATTTTACTTGCTACGAAAACAATTCACGATGGTTGGGTTTCGCTCAGGATATCTGCTATTCCTTTGTCGATTCGTGACCACAATTTCTCTCGTAGTATCAAGATGATTGGCTTTTTTCGTTGTTGCCTGAAGTGAACCTTCAGGCTGTTTTCTACTGCGCCTGCGAGATCAGCGGGGTGGGCTGATTTATCACTTGTCAGATGTATCCATTTGTCGTAGGTGGCTCAACGTCGCCCAGGATGAGCATTCACTAATAACAGCTCTTGCCCGTTACGCAACCGACAACGGATTCTCGACGCCTGTTTGTCCCTATTTTCTCCCGCTACGGACGCCGCCGTCACCCTGACCGTGCTTGCAGGAGGCCCCTTGCGGGTCTTGTTGCCGTGAGCCAGGACTCGATGATGGCGGCACAGACTTCCTCCGAGGCTACCCTCAACATTTGCAACGCTTACCGCAGGTTCGTGTTCCCGGGGCTAGTGAAAAAAAGTGCCATATCCGATGTAGTGCTCATCGTCAGCTGGAATGATAAGGCCCGCCAAGCTTCTGTTTTGTTCGTGTGGTCTCATTTCGCAGCCAAACCTACCGCATTTTCCGGTGTATACCTCTGAAATTTGCCGCACCCCCCTGTCTGCAGTAGAACCCCTTGCGCATCGCCAAGATGTTGTTGCTGTTTTCGTTTTTTTGCTGTTCGCTTTTTGTTGTTTGTGTTGCGATGGAATCGTTTCGGGCCCAAGTGAGCAAGCGACTTTTGCGTGCCAACGGTACGCCCGCAGGGAAACGAGCAGCGGTGTGGTATTGCTTTTTTGTTCTCCATGCCCCACGCGCGCCCCTTTACGCTGTTTTTTTCGTGAGTGTTCGAACGCGAGTGATTGCTCGTGTGCTGGAATGAATGATCCCATGGCCTACCATCCAAGCCTCCCCCCCCTGGCCTCGGTCTCTTGACAAACTTATTGCAGGCCTACTTAACTTTCTTGTCCGTGTTGCGTTGCCATCGTAATTGACGTCCACACAAAGATGTCACGGCCTGCCAGAGGCTTCCGAGCCAAAGGCGTCCTACGAGGAGATTATCACCTGGGTTAACAAGACCCTTGCACAGGAGTGGGCCGAGAGCCCGTCTGGTGACCTTGACACCAGCGAGGCTGACCAGGCCTTTGTTCGGCAGGTATGTTAGGCGGGAACGTGAAAAGTGGGGGCAAGAGAGTCAAATAAGCACAGACAGAAAACGGAGAAAGAGGCAGGGAGATGAAAGAAAAGAGATAGACGAGAGAGACAAAGAGAGAAAGAGAGGCAGGGGGATGAAAAAAAGGCAGTCAGAGACATCGATGGTATAACGTTCTTTGTGCTGCTGGTGTGGCTGGCCGTTTTGCTTCCGTTGGTTGTGCTGCACCGCTGTTTTTCTGTTGCTGATTTGCTTTTTGTCAAACGGGTCAAGCCCCTTTTGGCCTTGCGTTCTCGCGGCTTATCCTAGAGTTGAGGAGGAGATTGAGGGCGGGCCACGTCTTAGTCACTTCGGCACTGCAAGAATCTCACGTGTAGGCGCTACAAGGGGTTAGGGCAGTGTGATTGTGGGTTTGCTACCCTGCACGCACGTGCGTTCGTGCACGCTCGTCGTTGGCCCGCCTGCCCCGACTGAGTTGCCGAACGCTCAGTCGCATCCCGTTTTTGTGTTCATCCCCACCCGTGCCGCTCTCTGTCTCTCGCCCAACTCACCTCACTTCGTTCGTTAATCCCCCCCGCTGGTTCAGCAACAAAAAACAACCCCACCACCGGTGCGAGGTCTATTATGGTCTAACGACTACGGCATGCGTATACATGAGTGCACCCTCCCGACCACCGGCCGCCTGGCCTTGCTTTGTTAACCGGTTGCCGTTATCCTTTACACAGGCGGAGCGGTCGACCCTTCCCCCTTTGCCGTACTCGAGCGTCCTCATCAACGAGATAATGTCGGCGGGTGTGGGCATGGCGCTCGGATTTCCTTGGGGAGCCGGTGAGTCCCGGGGGCCTTTTTTTATTTTCCGCTCGCCAAGTGTTGTCGCCGCGAGGTCTTGTCCGACCTATTCGATGGAAAGTTGAGATGTTTTTTGCTGAAGTGCTGCAAGAAGCAGCCCCAGGTGGCCATGCTCGGCCCAGGGGCCTCGGGAACGCAACAGGTTTGGTATTCGTGAGGAATTTAGCGAGAACACACGAAGCTCGGGACGTCGTTTTGGCACACAAGTCACGGGCATGAAGCTCTCCGTCCACCAAAACCAAAAATGCCGCGTGTTTTTTTGTGCTTATCTCGTTCTGTCCTGCGGCCCGTGCAGCTGCTGCTGCTGCTCTTGTCTTGCTGTCTTGACTACTACGTTCATCCCAGCGCTTCCATATCTTGCGCCCTGACAATCTCACTTTTGGGTAGCGCGAAGAAATCGACGGCGCTGCGCTCGGCTTCCGCCCCAAGACTTACCCTAGCCGTAATTGCGCCATGTTGTTGATCGATGGCGCATGGATTTGTCAGCAAGGTCTCCGCCGGTTTTAAGGCACTGATAAATCGCCGTTGCATATCCTGGAAAGCAGCTGGAGGCACTCTTTTTCACCGCTGTGTGTCCGTATTCAGGATTTCGCTGCGTTCATGGCGCGAATTTTATACCTCCCTGATGCCCCTCTTTTTCTTCCACGTGCCCCCCCCCCCCCCCCCCCCCCCCCCCCCCCCCCCCNCTGTGTGTCCGTATTCAGGATTTCGCTGCGTTCATGGCGCGAATTTTATACCTCCCTGATGCCCCTCTTTTTCTTCCACGTGCCCCCCCCCCCCTCCCCGGTCATTGGCGCTCAAAAAACAAACAAACAGCTCGCCGCTGGATCGCCTGGCGAAGAGCTGGAGAAACATTCTCCGTGCTCTCCACGTGCTCTCTCCCGTGGGTTCTGCTGCGCGCCGGTCTCCGGGCGGGACTGGGCGCCACGGCTCTCGTTGCCACGCACGGGCCGGCGGGCTTCCGCCCTCAGGCTAGTTCGTGGATTCTGGACGCCACGAGCGGGAGTCGAGGGACCCTGGCCATGAGCGCTGCCCGAGAGTTATCGGAGCTCGGTGAGTGGAAACAGGGGAAGGGAGAAGATGGAGGGGGCGGGGGATTGGCGAGGTTGCCGGTGGGATTCCTTCGCTTATCACTCCCTTCTCCGCTCTTTGTGCCGGACGTGCGTTTTGGTGTCTTTGCGGGAGGGCTCTCGGTTCTCCCTCCTCTGCCTTTTCTTGTACAGGCCTGATGCGCACCGCGTTTGTGCGCATGTCGTTGCGCCTTCTGTACGTGCGTTCTGCGCGCGGTGGTTCTCTGTTGTGCCTTCAAGCACTCCTTTCCGTTTCCTGGGCAGGTCTGACCAGCGCCGCGTGTGTGCGCATGTCATTGCACTTGGTGTACGTGAGTTTGCGCACAGTGTTTCCTTTGGTTTGTCTTCCAGTTCTGCAATAATTCCAGCCTCACGCCCCGATCCCGCTTGGTTTGTTCTGCACGTTCGTTTCGCCCAGCCTATCTGTACGCAATCCTTCGCCTGTGCCCATACTCCCTCCTGCCATCGCTGGTGGTGAGCGCCGTGGTGGGGAATGACCACCGTTACGGCGGGGTTGTAGACGACTGGGGCGCGTAATTTGGCTAGCCTCGAGGTTCAGTGTGCACCCGCCGCCGTAAAATGTGGCGCCGTGTTACGGCAGTCGCCAGAGAGAGGTGAAGAGCGGAAGTGCAATGAGAACTGCCTGGTTCCTGGTGGAAAATTGCACGAGTTATGCTATGATTTTGGAGGTTTCACAGATTAAGCCTGGTAGGCTCTGATGGCCTTCTACAGTCTCTTGCGCTTTCTACCTGGAGTACACACGCTTGTCTGACAAGGTGAGGTCTGCATGCTGCCATAATTTGCACTCATCTTTGGGGTTTTGGTCTAGTTAGTGGTTGTTTGGTGTGGTACATTGGGGGTTATTTATGGTCGGGAGCAAAAACCAATCGGTCGTGTCCCCTCGATGGTGTAAACATGCATGCAAGGCGGGCGTTTTCATTACCTATTTTGTACCCCCGCTTTCTAAGTGGTAAAAAAAAGCCATTGGTTTTCCGTCTGTGGTTTTCCGTGTTAAAGTTTTCGCATTTTGGTGCTCTTGTTAGATCCCTTTTGTTTGGTTGATTGGACTGTCTCTGGCTTGGTAAGGAATCGACTGTTTATTTCGGTTTGCAACAATAATATCTTATTTTTTCATGTTTGTAACTTTAGGGCAAAGGTTGCTGTCCAGACCCTGGTGCATGGACTTCGTGGACTGAAATATGTCGCAGGCGCACCCGTGGTCTGTACCGAAGGTTCGTTGCATTACGTACGTCTTGCGACTAGCGCGATGGCGTGGAATGTTCGAAGCTTCGACCTTGCGCTGATTGCGACTGGGCCATAGCACCCCACCCAGCCCCCGCTCGCAATAGAGTGCATCTCGACCCCGCAGCATTGGGATAAACAATGAATGTAGTAGGTATGCGTTGTGGGGTTTGCACAGTCTAGGTGGAGTGGGCATCCGAGCCTGGGTGACACTCTTGTCACCGCGTACCTAGATTTAGAAGGTGGCCTAGCCGCTGCGCTTGTGGACGAGACTACGGAACCAGCAGTAACTACGCCTGAGAGTGTTTCTACCCGGCAAAATAGTCGACGGGGTTCATTCATTAAATTGTGCCGCAAGAACTTGGTGGGTGCGCCCAACAGACGCCAGCAGTGTTGCACGACTGAATTGGTCATTTCTGTTTGCCCCCAACTGTCAGGTCTCGTTATTGATACACGGACGTGGGACGCCATGATCAAGAAGGCCTTCCTATTCTCGTGTGCATACCGTAAAAAAAAAAATGCCCGTGATCGCTTGCGCCACAGACTGACGTTCATGGCTCCATGGTTTCACAACCAAGCTGGTGCTAAAATGCCGAGAAGGGTGGTCGTTCATCCTGTCTCGTCGAGAGCTTTTCCCTGCACGAAACGGTCCGTTTCGCCCCCTAGTGGTTGCGGAGCAAATGGGGCTTTCATGGATGCTGGTCTCAGCGGGTGGACGATCACTTTCGCTTATACGTCAATTGCAAGAGATAATACCAACGCTCCCCGGCAAACTTGGGAGGGCATCACCAAGTTATTACACGCCATCGGAGTCAACTGGCTATTCTTCGCTGCCGATCTCCCGAGGTCGGTCTGGCTCGAACGCGAGCCAAGCGTTTCAAAACTCAGATTGCTCTCTCCTCGCTGGAGGGCACCCTACGAGGCCGTGACGGTAACTTCACCCGAAAGGCCCACTCGCGGTAACAATCGGCAGACCTTTTCAATGGTCGTTTTTTGGCAGTTCGTACCACTCTTTTCGTTGCCACCGAATATACTCGGCCAGATCGAGCAGATCACACAAAACTAACCCAAGACCTGCAAAGGACTTAAACAAGGCGATAACTGCCTACGCTACTGCCGGCGCCAACGGCCAGGGAGACCAGAAAAGCCAAGCCAAAGTTGTTGCTTTGTGTTCGAATAATACATGATTTCCGTCTCCGGCAGACAATCGTCTCGCCCCCTCCCCGTTCTTACGGCGAGACGCTAAGAGGGGTGTCCAACAAACATCGGTTTAACTATCCAACCGGAAAGGCAAACGCAACCCTTTCGAAGAGCGCCGCCATCATAACAAGGTGTCCCCGTCCGACTTGCTCCTGAGAATTACAGAAGCCACGCAATGAAAAAGGCCACCACATCCCGAACGCTATCAGCAACAATTAATAAGTGGGGAGGTCTAGGACGATATCTCCACGACGCGCAGCAGCGTGACCTCGCGCCTGTGTCCCTGGGTGGTCTTGGAGCTCTTTCGCCGTCGCTTCTTGAACACGATCACCTTCGAACAAAAAAAAAACATGTGGGGGGGAGCATGAGGGTCTCCACTCTGCTGTCCGGGCAAACGCCATCGGGCTGTCATAGCCCTCAGACGGAAGAGGGAAGAACACTCACAGCAGATATCACATCACACAAGGATATTACACAACTTTGTCGAACTTGAGCAACGCAAGGGGAAATGGGGGACGGAAAGGCGGTGATGGAGAAAGTTGTCCCGAGGTGCTGTCTGATCAATGCGCACAATATCAACCTGGCACAGCAGTCTGGCAATGAGGCACCCTCAGTACGATGGCAACATCACATGCACTCCGACAGAAGCACAACACGGCACCAGGACCTTCGCCACAAACACTGCGAAGATCCGACCGACCCGAATAATCAAGCCGCAACCAATTGTCTCTTGCTATCTCGACCAAGGCTTGCTCCTCGACAACCTGCTTGACTCCCACTCTCCAGCACCCCAACATATCCCCTCACGCCGGCCGACCTTCCACCACCGAAACCGCGAAGGCACCAAACAGTTTTGCCCCACGCAGCGTGTCTCCTTCACAAGAAGAAGTGTCCAAACCTCCCGGGGCACACTTGAGCGGACCTCAACCGAACGCTCAACTGCCACATGCTCACCTTCTTGTCTCTCGTCTGCTCCTCAACGAAGAGCTTCACCATTGCCCCCGGGACGGTCGGTCGTCCCACGACGGTGCTTTCCCTCGTGCCCACCAGCAGCACGTCCGCGGTCTCCAGGGTCGTGCCGATGTCTCCCACGAGCTTTTCCGCGACGATGACGTCATCCTTCGTCACCTGCCAAAAAAAAACAAATCAACAAGGAAGCGTTGTTGGCAAAAACGTACCAAATCTGTCGCGGGAGTGCCTTCATTCAGCACACAAAGGGAGTGGCGGCCGCCACCAGCAGAGTCTCCAGATCAGGGCGGCACGGGTGACAAGTTGGTTTCGGTGTTGGGAAAACGTCATACTACAAGAGAACCGACCTTCTTCTGTGTAGAAATGACGATTTAAGTGAGCCACGCTATTTCGGGAGAGAGAAAAAAATGTCCGTCGTTGAATGCTTATGCATTCAGCAAAACATAAGAGGCTCTGTGCTGCTGTACCACGTGGCTACTCACCAGAGTGCTCCAATGCACAAAACTCTGCGGAAAACAAAATAAGACCAGCACCACGTGTGCGTCAAAGCACAGCAGCAGCTCCTTCGGATCCCCCCCCTCTCGACAAACGCACGCCGCACCTTGTGCTGCGTGTTCCCGAGGCGGATGACGGCGAAGGTAGGCTCGCACCCGGCGGGCACCGGGGGGAATTCCCACCCGGAGGCCGGGGGGTGCTTCACGACGGTGTGGCAAGACGTCGACGGCGGGGCCGAAGAGGAGGGCAGAGATCCCTCTAACACTGCACTGCTGCTGCTGCTGCTGCTGCTGCTTGAGTGCGCCTCTTGCTCGGACGCCTGAGAGGAGAAACTCGAGCGCTGCTGCCGCTGCTGCTGCCACCTGTGCTGCTGCAAACGTCCACCTGTTGCTGGACACCGAATCGCGGTCGGGAGCTGATCGCTAGCTGTTGCCGCCGTCGGGCCTAGCAACACCTGCGAAGCATGCATTGTTCCGGAGGTGCAGCAGTACACCGTGAAAGCGGGGCGAATGGACGTTCGTCAAAACGGCGGCATCGAAGCTCATCTGCTCTGCAGCTATGGAGCGCGGGCGGCTGTAAACAAATGTTGGTGTGTTTACCAATCGTGCCGGGAAAACAAAACCAGGTGATATCCTTGCGTAGCGCCAGCGACCTACATGAGACCACCGCAAGAGGGGGAGAGATGGCATCCCCCCTCGACCGATTTTCAAACCTCGATTGCTCCACAACCACGATTGTCTGTACCGTACCGTATTCCGTACCGTGGTATTCCGTAAAAGTCGGAGAGATGGCACCCCCCCTAGACCGATTTCCAAAGAAGTAAAATGGCTCCACAACCAAGCTTGAAGCCAGCAACAAAACATGTTGGATTTCGAAACATATCGTCGAGGGCTTCCTAAGACGCATCGGGCTCTTCCCGCGCCCACTTGGCTGTGGAGAAATCGCGCTTCGAAAGCCAGTCTACGAGGGGTGCCATCTCTCCGCCCCTCACGGTAGTTGACGGAACACGGCCGCTAGTCGCACTTAAGCCTACTCAGTGAAGGGTCCGGATCTGTGATACCCGGTCCCGACCTCGTGTGCCACAAGAAAAGCACAGGGATGGAGGTGCAGCACCAAAATCGCCAGAGGAAGGAGGGGACACGGGCAAAACGAAAACGCGCTGAGACTGCAATTTTCGAGCAGGCTCCCCCCTTCGCGCCAAGCAGGCTGTGCAAGATGCCAGCACCGTGGCGGGAGTGGCAGTTGATAGGCTTTGTTGGCCCCGCTTCAAACCCTCCAAGTACCCAGTCCCTCCGCAAAAAAAAAAATGCCGCAGAAATGTTTGGCAGCCATTGGTCGAGGGGCAGTCCCTCCAAAGAATCCACACCCTGTACAAATACAGTATTTGGTAGTTGATTGAGAATCAACTACTTTCCTGAAAAGCTGCGCAATTTTTTGGTGCCAGTCAACTATTGTTTTGAAAAGCTGAGCAACTATTTGATAGCAATCAACTACCTGCCAAAAATGTTGATTAAATATTTGATTGCAGTCAACTACTGTTTTGAGAAGCTGCGCAAATATTTGGTTCCAGTCAACTACTGTTTTGAAAAGCTGCGCAAATATTTGGTTCCTGTCAAGTGCTGTCTTGACAAGCTGCGCAACAATTTGGTTCCGAGCAAGAATCTGAGCTCCTTGCCAGACAAAGGTTGACTTGGCTTCAGTATGAAAAGTGTCCCCAAAACACGTGGGGAAACTTTTCATACTGAAGCTAAGCCAGCAGATTTTTCCAGTACCAGGCGATGTGCAGTTTTGCGAACCGGGAGGCACGCGGGTCGGGAGATGTGCACAGCAAGTCGGAGGCCCAGGAGAGGCATAACTCAGCATATCACACAGCGTACCACCTCAGCCAAGCATGATAGACCAAGGCTTTTCACGTACGTTGCATACAGCGGAGCCTAGGGTGACTACAGTGGGGCAAATAGGCCTTTGAGTGAAGTGCCCCCAAAGTGTCCCCATTTGGGCTTCCAGTATCGGGAGGGTTCAGGGATGCGCAAGGTACCCAGCAGGCGAGAACACCACAGGCGGTGATCCGTCTGCGATCCACAGGCGCAGCGCAGTAAGACAACCATGTCCCGCGGCGATTCCGCACCAGAGCGTGGAAGGCAAACGTGTTACAGAGAGTCGCGCTTCGGTGGCGGAAGAAAGCACCCTGTTTGAGGATAGTTCGAGGCTTGCCTGGGGTCTCGCCAGGATAGGGGGTGTTATCTCCCGTAGGAGGCGGTCAATCACCTACACCTGCTGCTTATGCATACTACAAGGACGCTGTGCGCATCAGTCCAACACCAACAACACATCACTACATCATTATAGTCGATTTCCTTGCGGGAATAAGGTAAAATACGCATCCATATGCATGCCAGCACGCTAGACCGAAGGTGGTGCTGTCTGTTGGCGCGGATGCCGTGTGACTCGATGCCTCCTTTTCCTTCTCGCCGCCTCCTCCCCCACTCTGCACAAGAAAAGAGCATCGGCGGTACAACCGAGCGCCCGAATGCACCTGACCACGCCAAAGACCACACAGCAGCACGTACCCAACAAGCCGATGACTCGCCCTAAGAAAAAGGACACGTTGTCACACAGCTCTCGCGTGATGCTGCCTCCTGAACGCACCTGCTTCGGTGATGTGTGTGTGGACTGCCGCCGAGGGAGAGGTCGTTTCTGGTGCATCGCAGCTCCCACGGCTGCTCTAGACCGCAAAATACGACCGGGTGCTATGGCAAAAGCACTCGTGGCAAGGGTACGCTGCATCATCGTAGTCGAACAGAGAACACGCCGGGAGAGGATAGTGGACGCACGTACGGCACGCGGGAACATCTTGAACTCTCTGTCGT